TTTCACACATGAGCAGAGAGGAAACGAGCCAAAAACAAGACAAACAACGCAGCCGAGAGTCGAATGACAGACGTACGAGTCTAAAACCTGCTTTAAGCCTTCGTTAATGAAGCAAACCAGAACCATTTGCTCCTCAAACATCCCAAAACAAGTCAGAGCACAAAGGACTCGCAGCTTTGAACCAGTTTTTTACTCCTAGTTACATAAAATGATTCACACTTAAAGTTTAATGAGGCAAAGAGAAAAATCAAAGCTACAGGACAGCTTGTTCTGCCTGTTTGGAACATTTAATCCAGATTTTTCTCACTTAAAGATGCTCCAGAACGGCTTAAATTTGTTTCCATGTGGGCGGTGAGAGGACTTAATGAGGAGGAATTTAACCACAAAATGTCATGTGAGGAAGGATGGCATCTTTTTTCCAAAATATTTTTCAGAAACTGACAATTTCACTGTAATTTACATTTTACTGAACTTTAAAGTGTGATCGAACCGTTTAAAAAAAAAAAAAGAAATAATAAAGATTTAAAGAAAAAAACACATTTTACGTTAAATCCGACATCGGAAGTGGATTTTTCTAAGTTTGTGTTTCCTCTGTGCAAAAATAAACCACAACAAACATGGTCACATTAGACTTCTCTCACATTAGATTAATGAACTTAAACTGGTCTCTGGGCACCACGCTGCTGGGAAACGGTTTCCTGTGCATGAAAAGTGGCTTATCTTCAGCAACATGCCAACAAGCCTCAAAATTACATTTGGTACATCATTTCAGCTCATTTTAACCACAATATGTCCCAAGAGGAAGTTTTTGTTCTGTATTTTTTTTTTTACCAGAAATGACATGACAACATTTTCAGTTTGCAGGTTTTAAGGTAAATGAACAGTTCAAAATGGAAAAAATATAGAGTTTAATGACAAAAACACTTTACAAAAACACCATCTTTCAGTTTACATGAAAGATAGATTTTCATGCTAAATCTTAGATATTAACAGCTATTAACAACTAAATTTGAGTTGGTTTTGTGCCTAAATTGAGCCTCAAAATGTTCATCTGTACTTTTTAATGTTTATTTTAACCAGAAAATGTACCGAGGATGTAATTTTACCCTTTTTTCCCTAGAATATCTTAGCAAAATCTTCAGTTTTTTAAATATTTAAAGGATGTTTAGAGTCAATGAACTGCTTATGGGATTTCAGTAAATATAGTAACATTAATGGAAAAAATTTGTGAAAATGTGACATTATGGGCCTCTAATGACTGCGCTGGTCTCTGAGCACCACGCTGCTGGAAAATTGACCTTTTTATTTCTTCTGGGAGGTTTTTCAGAGCAGGTGAAGGTCCATCGGACTGAAAAACGACAGCTTCCTGCAACAGGAGTCAAATCAGAGCAAACCTGCTGGTTAGGAGAGGCCAGGAGAGGGTTCGGTGACCAGACTTTGGACCAACCAAAAACGCTGCTTTCACCTCTGAAAACATAAAGTCTGATCTGCACCCAAACGGCGACCGAGTCCCGTTACCTTCCGGATCTGAGAGTCGGCAGAAGAAAAGACGCCAAAGACGAGATGATTGTAGAAAAGCAAGAGGTTTATTGGAGGGGACGCTGGAGGAGGCGGAGATTTGCTCCACCGGGAATGAAAAAGAGCCCACTGGCCGGAGCCGGGCAGCACCAGAACCACCAGTCTGAGTCTGAGGAGCTCCCACATCCCTCCATCCAGCCTGCTGTCGCCATCTGTTCGGCGGGATTCAACCAGCTGCAAAATAAGGAGAAAAGAGGGGAAAAGAACACATTTTTTGGTCATTAATATGCTGAAATTGCACAACCACACAACACAGAGTCTCCGTCCAAAGGGCGGCTAAAACCAACATTTACTCCTCCAGCTCTAAAAAAAGAAAATAATAAAAAGCAGGATCAAAAAGCAGGAGAAGCCGGTTTCCAATTGCAGACTAACAAAGGGGACAAAAATTCTCACATTCAGCACAAAAACGAACAATCTGGAACATTTTCCCCCTGTGTCTACCTCCAGAATTACAGATGTGACCACTGGTGGCTGAAAGAGGCTCCTCAGGCACATGCATCAGTGTACAGATATCATCATTACAGACACAAGCAGAGAGAATAAAAGCTTAAGTAAATGCTAATTTTGAGCAGAGAGTGAAAACAGAGCTGAGCCAGCAGTGGCTGCTTTGCACCAGCGGGGGGCAGCAGAGGCCAGCTGGGCAGACAGCGTCTAAATCCTCAAAGTTTGTCTTTTTCTGTGGAATCATTACAGCAAAAAGCAGTTTAACAGCAACTGCCACAAAAACAAAAAAACTTTAAGACTTTTAACACCTCAAACCTAAAAGACGCCTGCGCCTTATACAGTGACTCCTCGCTACGGTGTGGTTCAATTTTTGCAGACTTGCTATTTAGTGTTATTTTAATAAAATATTACTGCCATATTTTCTGTTTACATGCGTAGCACGTGTTGAACAGCAATGTATGTATTTGAGGAATTTTGCATTAAACATCACAAAATGTAGAAAAATTAGATGCTACTGGCCGATGTGAGATTTTACACAACACCTGATTGGTTGACAGATGGAGGCGACCGACCAGAGAACGCTAATGAACATTTAAGGCGTGTTTTAAAGGAAACAGGTACAGTGGGAAAGTGTTATGTAGAGTAGAAGTGTGTGGGGAGGGCTTTTAAAAACTTAAAATGGTGTACAACTACTAAAATAATGTGTAATGTGTGATAATGTGTAATGTGTCACTACTTTGTGGTTTTTCACTTATCGCCGGCGTTCCTGTAAGCTAACGACCGCCATAAATTGGCGCTGGAGCTCGACCACCAGGAGGAAACAGGCCTTTTGTGCTTACAGGCGGCGGCGCGGGCGGGAAGGTCTGTGGCGCCGGAGAAGGCGGCCACGATGGAGGCAAAGACCACGCCGGGGCTCTGGGCGGCGTCCACGGCGGTGTGCAGCCCCCGGGCGCCGTAGTACTGCACCAGCGGCGCCGTCTGCCGGTGGTAGGCGTCCAGCCGCGAGCGCAGCGTCGTCTCGTTGTCGTCGCTGCGGCGGATCAGCGGCTCGCCGGTGATCTGAGCCCAGAAAACATCAAAGATTAAACTAATATCACTTTCCTTAATGTAGCTTTTAATGAATAATACTCCATTCACACATTAATATAACACCCACCCCAGTTTAAGGCCTTTAATTGGCTTTAAAACTTTCTTAATCAGGCCTTAAAATGGCTTAAAACTGCCCTTAAAATGGCCATTAACTGATGGCGTTAAGGTGGAGATGAATTTATTGCCTTAAATAGGCCTTGAGGTGGCCCTAAACTGGGTTTAAGGTAGCATTAAGATTGCCTTAAACTGGATTTAAGAGGGCCCTAAACTGGTATTAAACTGGAGTTAAGGAGGGCGTAAACTGGCTTTAAACTGGAGTTAAGGAGGGCGTAAACTGGCTTTAAACTGGAGTTAAAGTGGGCGTAAACTGGCTTTAAACTGGAGTTAAAGTGGGCCCTAAACTGTCTTTGGTCTGGCCTTAAGGTAGCCCTAAACAGCAGCTTTTGGTGTCTCTGTGGGTGTAAATCCGGCTGGTGGACTTACATCGTCCTTCATGGGCTCTTTGGGGGGGTTGAACTCCTCGTGGTAGGAGCGGCCGCTGGGCTGATGGATCAGTCTGTGGAGGCAGAGGGAGACATGAGGCACAAAGCAGCTGCTCAGAGGCCTTCAGCCTCACTTCTGTGTTCAAAAGACGACTGGAGAAGCTCAGCGAGCACATTTTCAGCCTCTCTGAAACCAAAACACCACAGAGCAGGTTTGTCAGCAGCTCAGAGTAAAAAGCTGCTCCCATTTAAACCTTCAGGCATCAGAATGACCAATATCTCTAAATGTGAAGAATAGAATAACCAGTACTGAGTTTCACAGTTTAATATAACTATAAACATTTATACCCAGTCAGTCTTAAGTTGGTTTGAGGGGATTCTGGTCTGAATGAGGCTCTGGTTTCTGGTTTTTGGATACTCTGGTTCAGCTCAGAGTCAGAGGAAGGTCAGCTGGAGTGCTGCTTCTTCTTTTTCTATTTCTCCATGTTGCTCTTCTTATTTTTCTCCTTCTAATTCTTCTTCTCTCTTTTTCGGCTCGTCAGAGCTGAGAGGAGCTAAAGCCGTAAGGACCGAGCCTGTTTTCCCCTTTCCTGTTTTCAGAGGAACTAAAAGCCCCAAAAGGAACTTGTTCTCCCCTATTAGAAACATCTCAGTTCACACTTCAGATCCTGACAGGTGAAATGTTGTTCTGGCTGAAAATCTCCAGGAAAAAACAACAAAATACAAAACACAACAAAGTGGAGTTTTCCAACAAAGAAGAAGAACATGTGAAGTTCTGCCGTTCAGAACATCAAAGAGCTTTTTCCATCAGATAACTTTTTCCAGGTCGACTGACAGCAGCCCTGTTGCCCAGGTAACAGCCTGTCTTCAGAGAACACCCCGCTTTTTTCTTTATTTTGGATCAGCCAAACAGTATTTTTTTTTTTAGGCTCACAGTTTGCAGGCTGTTGTTTTTAGCCTCTGCTTTATTTTGCATTGATTGATTATTTATACAGTGCATAAATAAGGTGACCAAACCACTTTACTGAAAAAGGAACATCACAAAGAAGTGCAATAAAATAAGTATAAAATAAGGAAAATGCAATTCCACTACAGGTATTAAGAGCCTGTCTATCATTTTTAGTATATAGTATTTTTCAGGAATGCTCAAGTTTTATTTCCTTGTTTAATAAACTTTGAGTTTAATTGCTGTCATTTTCTGTAACCAAATTTCAGGGTTTCAGGTGAAAATGAGCTCCAGAAAGCATCACCTGCCACTCACCTGCCACAGATCCGACGAACCAGCAGAGAATCATCAACTGCAAACTCGATCACAGAGTCCAGCTTCTCCTGTCTCTTGTCCAACAGGTGGTCCAGCTGGAGGAGCAGAAAAGAGGACCAGATGTGGACTTCTGCCCCAAACCGATCAGAGCAGAAACCCACAAGCTGCTTCTGCATTTTAAACAGGAGCTCATTCAAAGGTTAGAGAGTAAACAGGCATTGAGAATTAGCCTTAGCTAAAATGTTATAGTGTTTGACATGTTTCATGAAACATACTTGTGCCTATCAAATAAACGAATAAATAAATAAAAGCGTCACCATCTCGGCCTGTTTGACTGTTCGGGGGAAGCCGTCCAGCAGGAAGCCGTTCCTGCAGGGGGGGGAGTCCAGGTTCTTCTCTATGAGCTCCACCACCATCTCATCGCTCACCTGAGCAGGAAACCAGGAAACTTTACCCCTTCGTCTTTAACATCTAACAGGCTGAACATGAACTCAAACAGCAGAAAATCTGGTTCTCAGAGGAAAGACAACCTCAGTCTGAACAAAGTAAACAGACCAGAAGCAAGATAAGGACCCAAAGAGGACCCAAAGCTTGAGCCTGAGCTGTGCAGAACTCATTCTACCTTTAAAAAGAAAAGCTAGAAAAAAATAGTAAAAAGGAGAAAGAATTGGATCAAAGAAAAATTAGGAAATAAAAAACAAGAAAGAAAAAAAACACAAAGAAAAAAGATAAATAATAAAAAGTGAAATGATAAACTAAAAATAAAAAGATACAAAGGAACATCCAAAAGAAAGAAAGAAGATAAAGAAAAATTAAAAGAAAGAAAAAAAGATCAGAAAATATTTCAAAAGGAGAAAGAAAAAGAGCAAAGCAATACTGTAAAATAGGAACTAAAAAGAAACAAATGGATTATTGTTAGAAAAAGAACAAATGAATGAATGAGGTACCAGATTCATAGAAAAAGAATAACAAATGAATGAATGAATGAGGTACCAGCTTCATAGAAAAAGAACAACAAATGAATGAATGAATGAATGAATGAGGTACCAGCTTCCCAGAGTCCATGGTCTCCTTCAGCCTCTGGCCGAGCTCGGAGCCCGAGGCCACCATGGCCCTCAGCATGTCCCCGGTGGCCAGGTGGCACACGCAGTACTTCTCAGCCAGCCGGGGGGCCTTCAGGGGACACCAGAATGCATTCGTTACACGTTTCAGTGGCTTTTAACAGTTAAAACTAAAAGCCTGACTTCCTCCTGCTAAGACTTTTTGGGGAGTTTGGCTCCAGTGTGTTAAGTCTGTGCGTCAGAACGGAAAAATAACTAAAAAGTCCCACAGCTGAGGCCAGGAAAACCATTATAATCCATACTCTAGTAACTTAATTATGGATACCTCAATTTAGAGGCAATTAAATCCTTTCACAGACCCAGATGATGCAGGATTTAACACCAGTTATGGCAAAGTTTCAACTCAATTCTGAACTATTTAACAAAGGGACTTGATAACTTTGATCTCATTGTTCTTTACTCTGGACAGGTTTCTCTGCTCTGACAGCAGGAGTCCAGATTTCTGGACCATCTGAGTCATTTCTGACAGAATATGTTCCCCGACTGTCATATCAACAGGTTTTACTGTCTTAATTAAAGTTATTATTGTTTATGAGAGTCACACAAACGTTATATCCTCTGGAAGAATAAAGAGCAACAATAAATTGTAACTGTAAACTGCCTAATTCAAACAAAAAATAAGAAGTATTGAACCAATATAAATATAACAAACATATATCTTCAATTAGAGTTTTGGGTTTGTTGTCACATTTTAAAGGACTCTGTGCTCTTTTATCTGACTAGAAATATGTTATCAGCCTCGTTGACCCTATGAACCATAAAGTAAATACAAATATTGTAAAATGAATCTTTGAAAGATAAGAAAAGTTTTCACTTGACACGTGCAGCTTTAACAATAAAAAGATAACAGCTAAAACTTATAAACAGACTTTACGAGTCAACTTTAAGGTGATTTCCTATCATTTACAACTAGTGTATTTCAGCTTAAGTCTTGGAGTGTTAAAGTACCTCCATGGTGGCACTGGCACAATTAAATATGCAGCCCGGGAGAGTCGGTAAAGTGCTAAATAAGCAGACTGGCGAATCAGGTAAGGATTAGCCGCAGGTAAGCTAACGCTAGCAGTAACTTGCCCTCATAACGACCACGCGCAGTTATTCACGGGGCTAACGGCTAACAGCTAGCTTAGCTCTGCTAGCTAGCACACGTCACTGCCACTCACCTGAGTCCCCTTCCCGGCTCCAGGAGGCCCTAGCAGGATGGCGCGGATGCCCTCTTGCACATCGGCTATCGCCTCCTTAAGCTGTACGCTGGGGGCCATGTCAGGACGAGGGGGGGGGGGCACCAAAACAGAAACTTTACTAAAGTCTTTCACTGTCGTCCTGCTGACACAAGAGCCAAGTTAGCCAGGAAAGGAAGTGCCTCCGCCTACTTTTTTAGAATGAGTTTTAAACCCCGCCCACTCAGAGGACAATGCTAATTCTAATTGGTCACTTGTCCGATCCTTTAAGAAAGATTGAAGTTGATTGGATGACTGTTTTTATACGGTTTTGTAACTTCCGAATGTGTCAAACAAATGACGTTTGTTTTGATTTTTTTCTTGTTTTTTAAAAGAATAAATAAATAGAAATATTTGTTGAAGGCGTCTAGCAGTTAAATTTTTATAATTGTTCCATCATGGACATGTTTATATGACTTACATTTTGGGAAATTGACAAATTTTAAAAAAGTGAATGCAACTGAAAAATCTTTCAGATAAAGTGCATTAAATAATAAAAACTTTATGACACTTTACAGATTCCCAAAGGGCAATAGTGAGCACAAGTAATCATATCACACACTGAACCAACTCAAAAACATACATACACACACATACACACACACACATGCACGCTGCCGCTTTCTTCATGCCTGTTGCTTGAATGACTGTACTGTAAATATTGCACATTACAATTGATCACTTTCAATTTATTATATCACACAATTTTTTTATTATATGTTTAATTTATCGAACTTATCTAATTTATGTCTACGTCTGCACGGGAGAGCAGGAAACGAAATTTCAATTCTTTGTATGACCAACGCATGTAAAGAAATTGAGAAAGCCTACTTGACTTGACTTGACTTCAAATATATGCTGTTTCTGTAAATACATGACAAAATCAATGATTTAATGAAATGATAGCAGTGAAACTTTTATTCACCTTATATCATCTCAAAATGTATGATTGAACTTTAATTTGTTTGTATATATTTTTCCAATTGGTGTTTTAGGGCAATAATTAAGCTAAAAACTGACATTTCAAGAGAAATGTAATCAGTTCTGCATTTTCTCAACATCTCCTTAGTCATGCTCAAGAGCCAGGAATATAAATAGACATCAGCTTCATCTTTGGCTCTTTTTTCCTCCGCATGCAAGTTTGTCAGACCTTTTTTTTACCCAGAAACAGGAAGAGACACCGAGCAACGATATTATGTAACCTGTATCCTGTATTTCTTCAACTGGACGATTAATACACCCGACCCGGGTCAGGAAGCCATTTCTTCTGTTTCTATTCTTGAGACTGCCCTGTGTTCTGGACTCACTCGAGGTCAGATCGCAGCAAAATGTCTGAAGATGTCACCTACACTGAGGTGAAGTTCAAAAAACCAAAGACCAAAGGTAAGTCCATCCATCTGGAGTTTAAAACAACATTTAAAGCTAAGTTCAATGTTTTGAAGTTCGCTGTGTGATGTTGCAGGAGAAGTTTCCTCATCAAATGAAACCACATACGCTGAAGTTAATTTTTCAAAATCCCGTCTGCCAGGTAAGTTAAAATGAAAACAAATTAATTCAGCAGCTTGATTTGTTCTCATCTATATCTCTTAATGACATCAGTTGACGTGAAAAACAGCTCAACACGGCTTCCAGAAGTCAGTGTTTTCACACCATGTGCTGCAGGTTTGTTTGCTCTTTCTAGCCTCCTTTTTCTGATTAGAAATTAAAGGAAAAGATAGAAATAAACACAAGTGAGCATAAGAGAGGATGTGCATCTACAGGATGAGTTATTAAAGATGCAGAAGTGATGTTGATGCGTGCAAATATTTATTCATACACAATAATCAAGCTGCAGGTTCCCTGTTTTTGCAGGTCCGCTCATCAGCTAATGACTGAGAGCGAGGTTTATCTACCTGAAACCAGCAGGATGTGTTCCCTGCATGACTAGATAGCGCTTAGATAACTGAGTCCTTGCTGTCCTGCAGTTTACTTATGTTTTTCTGCATCAAAACACAATTCACATCAATGCAGAATCGGCAGACTTTTAAAAAACTTAGTCTTTTGATAAGATCTGGAGCAGGAAAGATCTGAAACCTGCAGGACAGCAGCCCAAAGAGAACCAGAGTTCAGTTTAACAGGCTCACGCAGTGTGAGTCCTTCGCACATCTGCGTTTTTTCTCGCACTTTAGCCTCTGCAAACGGTGGCCAACGACCAGCTGAGCCGGGCAGGAGGTCGAAGGTCACCTCACAGCTGGTGGTGCTGCTGGTTCTGAGCGTCCTCCTGTGTGCCACCGCCGTCCCACTCGGACTCCTCTGTGAGCTCATCGATCGCCTCCAATAAAACTCCACAGACGTCAGATTGACAAAAATGACAGCTCTTGAAACACAACTGAGCAAAAAAAAAAAAGCTCTTCAAAAACCAAATCTTTACCAATAGTTGTTTTGTTTTTTTAAACTAGTTTTTCGCAATGCAGAAATGGGGAAAAACATCACATCTGTGGATTTGGCTCAAAATCTAACAGGTAAGAACATGCTTAAAAATGTAAGAAACAGTACTGGGAATTTAAAAAGTTATTCGATCCAGACACACTTCTGTTCCTCCTTTCAAACCTCAAAGTGAGAACAGTTTTAACTGCTGTGTCAGCATAAAGGAGGAAAAGGGAGGATCAGAGCTCAAATATGCAAAGAAAACAGGAATTCGTGAAAGTTTTATTAAAGTAGTATTATATAGACAGATGAACACACAGCATGTGGTCATGAGAGAAATGACATCTCGTGTCCGATGAGCCTCTAAATTGAAATTTTGGGATTTTTCAATGGATTTTATGCTTATTCAATATTCAAATGAACATTTAATATGTGTTTCTATGTGGAGGTCGTCTCATTCACTTCCTAAATCTCATTCAGTTCCTTAACTATTAATAATGGCACCATAGTTGCCTCTTTCTTTTGTTTCCCCAAATATTTTAACACATTTTTTACGAAGACAAGTTTAAGTGAACAGTTCAGATGATTCTAAAGGACATTATATAGCTATTTGGTTTCTTTTTGGACACAAATTTTGGTTTAAAAGATGATTTTCACTAATTTTGTAGTGTTTTATATCAGTACTGAGTCTGAAATGCAGAGTTTAGTTAATTTTAACCTGAAGTGACTATTGATTTTTTCTTTCCAAAAATTATTTGTTTGCCATTTAAACTCATTAAACCCTGAAAGAGTCGACAGGGACTGTCTGGGTCTTAAACTGGGACTCTTTTTGGATTGTAAGTGATTTCTCCTCCATTTCTGGGGGGAAAAGTTTTAAAAATTCTGTTGTTTCTCTGCTGAAACATCCAAACTTCTCATGGTCTCTGAGACAGACAGTAAACAAAACTGCACAGTAAAGACGACGTGTCTGATTTACCGAGAGAGTTGCGCCTTTTGCGTCCTCCAATGATGGTTAAAGGATCCCTGAGGGGCTCCAGGAGGTCGGATTGGAGCTCCCACTGCCTCCAAATCACACAAGCAGGAACTCTGAGTGCTTCCACAAACGAGATTCGTCTTTGCTCTGCTTAAAGATGAGACATATCTGCGGTGTGATGAAGGCTGGGAGCAGCATGCGGGCTGGTGTTATTCCTTCAACACTATGCTTTTGTCCTGGATGGGGGCCAGAGACGAGTGTCGGCAAAAAGGAGGATACCTGGTGAAGATAGACAGCAGGGAGGAGCAGGTAGCCCCACCACAGCCTCTGGTTTCTCCATCTGGAACGGCCTCACAGACCCGTTTCCATCCACTTCTTCCTGCTCAGGAGTTCCTGGAGAAGCGCCTGAGGGAGGAAATGAAGGAGCCAGAGGACAAGTTCTGGATCGGGCTGACGGACTCGGAGGAAGAGGGTCGCTGGTTGTGGGTGGACGGATCTCCTCTGAATGAAAGGTTCGATTGCCCCGAAAATAGTCATAATAAACTAATTTTAACAATCTAAATCTACTCTTATTCATCACTTAGTTTGACTTTTTGGAGCCAAAAAGAACCGGACAACTGGAACGACGAAAGTCATGAAGGGGAAGACTGTGTGAGGATGGGGGAGAAAGGGGGAGCCTTGGAGCTGAAGTGCTGGTTTGATAAATCCTGCAAATTGCCTCACAAAAGCATCTGTGAGAAAGCACCTCGAGTCCTAACGAGCTCGTCGGTGTGAAGCCTCAGAATCCAGAAGGACACTTTCAGCTGGATCCTGAGAGGTGAAATGAGGCGGCCGCTTGTTTTCAGTGTGTGAATTTCACTTAGTAATCTTTAAATGAATAATTCTATCTCATATAGTTAGAATCATAATAAAGAGGCATGAAACGGGTCACATGACCACAGTTTAGTTAATGGTGCCACCAATTAGAGGAGATGATACAACCCAAACTGTTCTGTTTGGTCTGAGAGGTCACGCAGTAATTGTGACTGCTTTTACTTGACATTCTGTATTATTTCTTTTTTTTTTGTTGCACAGATGTTAATTATATCGTCATTAAAAGCATCACATGGACCGTCTACTGCCTGAGCCAAGCTTGGTCCATTTATTATTTTTTTGTATGTGTTTAGCAATGGTTCTCTTTCAACATTCGTTTCGGTATCTCACTATGGGACACGCCCCTTGCGCTTGTCCCCAGAAGCAATTTTTCCACTACGCCAGTCCTGACTGGCCGACAGACGTGACGCTCGCTCCCAGGAGGAGTGTCCTCCTCCTCCTAAAAGGCACGAGCATCACGTTGTCCCTTCAGTCTTAAACTTCTTCTCGCTCCTGGAATCATCTCTCGGACGCACGGTTTGCTATACGTTAGCTTTTTTGTCATAGAGCGAGCTAACCACTCGGTCGCCGACTGCTAATATTAGCTTACCTGCCGCTGCAAAGCGACGAGAGTCAGTTGGGCTGTATCCAAACAGCAGCTGTTTTTCCGCAGTGAGAGCTAGCTGTTCCCAAACAGTAGCTATTTCGACCGCACGAACCCCGTCCATAGCGACCCTCAGCGACCCTCAGCTCCGCACGAACCCCGTCCATAGCGACCCCTCAGCTCTGTCCCCCATACAGACTGCCCAGTAGCATGGAGGGGCTCACACCCTCCTCCGTTTTCATCCAAGGAGCACGAACGCCTGAACG